ATATATATATATATATATATATATATATATATATATATATATATATATATATCCAGTGTATTTCACGAAATTTAAAGCAGTGATATCGGACTTTTGTCTCTATCTACCAATTTACCTTCCTACCTATGCATATATAGTTAAAGTCAGAATTATTAGTCACCCCTGTTTATTTACCCCCCCCCCCCAATTTCTGCTGGGAGAGACAATTTTTTTCAACATATTTCTAAACACAATACATTTAACAACTCATTTCTAATAACTGATGTATTTTATCTTTGCCACATAATATTTAATATAATACATAATATATATTAATACATAATATTTGACTAGATATTTTTCAAGACACTTCCATACAGCTTAAAGTGACATTCAAAGGCTTAACTAGCTTAATTTTGTTAACTAAGCAGGTTAGGTATAGGCAAGTTATTGTATAACAATGGTTTGTTCTGTATATCAAAAAAAAAAAAAAAAAAATAGCATAAAGGGGCTAATAATATTGACCTTAAGATGTTTAAAAAAATAAATAAAACTGCTTTTATTCTAGCTGAAATAAAACAAATAAGACTTTCTCCAGAAGGCAAAGTTATTATCAGACATACTGTGAAAATTTTCTTGTTCTGTTAAACATCATTTGGAAAATATTAAAAAAAAAGAAAAAAAAATCAAAGGGGGGCTAATAATTCTGACTTCAACTGTATATTAACGTTGGGCCGATAAACAATATTATATCGAATCGCAATAACAATGATCAGCTCTATTTGAGCCAATCACACAGCAGAAATGTGCAACAATGGGAATCTTGAAGTGTGTTGATATTAGAAATGCACCAAATTTTTGGCTGCCAAAAATAATCGGCCATCGAAAATAGGTTATGCTTTTTAATGGACCTTTGATTTTTGTGGCTTCTGTCATTGTTGGGGTGCTCTTTTAAATCTAGAAGCATTAACAACTGATATCGATTGTATTTATGCCATATATATGTATATATATATATAAGGATGAAAATTATATGGGTATGTTGTCTTTAGTCTCAATAATTGAAATAAAACAAATCAGCAATATTGAAAAGTTTAATGTTTCTTCATTTTTTTTTTTACGTTATAAACTGTTAAAAATAAAGCACGCTTTCCTAAAATTTCTTTTTTAAACTTTCCTAATTTTGTGAAATCCTATTAAAATTCTGCCAATTCCCTGATGACATCTTCCTACAGGAAGTGACTCGTTTGGAGGGAAAACCCGAACAGCACAAACAAAAGTGAGTAACATATTTGTAATGGATTTGATGAGTTCTGTGATATTTCTTTCCTTGTTGGTTGAGTAACTTAGTCTCATTTTAAATATAGGCTACACTCCAAAATGAAACCAATGTTTGTCTTTTACCTTTCTTATGCTGACTCAGTTAATTACACCCGACATACTTTAAGCATAACCTGAAATACA